GCACCTCACCGACCCCCCCCCACCCCCCGATACGGAAATCTCCTCATTCGCAGAAGGGAAATGGTAAAGCGGAATCACACATAGAGTTTACTAATGCCAGGAAGCAGAGTCACAAAGTGGGGAATGACATCGCTTTCCAGTTCCTCTGAAACGGGATACAATGGGAAACCTGGAAGTACTCACCGTCCACACACCGGGCTGCTGGGACAAACTGGCACCGCCTGCTGGCACTGTCCAGCAAAACATTACCCCGCGGATGGGGTGCAAAGGGGCAGGGGCACAAGATTAAACGGTGGTGGGCCGGGGGGGGCACGCCGTCTAGCTGCCGCTCACCCTCCATTTCCACAGTGACAACAAAAGGGAATCCTGGGACTGCTGTGGAATCCCATCTGGGGTGGGGCTTGGAAAGGGGGGGGGGGTGGGTTGGCGTAACGCACAAAGCGGGACAATGGCTTTGGGCGTCGACAGGATTTCGCACTAGATCTCTTGCCGCCATTAGCGGGAGTGACACAGCCTCCGGAAGGACGACCTGGGTGCAGTACATGGTCAGTTACGGCCCTGTAGCTGGAAAACAGCAATGTGTACTAAAGCCATATTCACCCTAAGAGAGGCACAGCGTAAATTGTAACTCATGGTACCGAAGGGCTCAGTCAGGATCCGGACAGCAGAACACAGACCCTCAGCTAGAAATCAGTTGGCATGCGCAGTCAGTTCCCTCAGGAATATGGAGCTTAGGCCCATGGATTCGAGCGTGACGCCACAAGACAGAACCCAGCTGCTATCCAGGTCCAGGGTCCAGATCGGGCGGCATCGACACGCCCCCCCCCAGTGCAGGTGGGCTCCCCAGCCAATGTGCCTCAGCAGCCGTGCATACTTGCACTGCGTGATACATTTCTCCAGAGGCGGCAGCCGGGTCCTGATCCCGCGCACACAGAAATACACACACACACACACACACACACACACACACACACACAGATGCTCCTCCATAGACACAGACACACACACACACTGACACTCAGCTGACGGTGTCTGGGCCCAGGGGAGTGGCTGCCACACTCTCAGGCGGCAGGACAGCTGCTACCAACGCATGGCCTGTCCTCCGCCCCGCAGCAAAGGAGTGGGGGGGGGGGGCAGCATGGGAGGGTGAGGGAGGAGAGACAGGGAGGTAAAGCAGCATCTGGCCACACTGGCAATCACTCATGCAGCTAGCATTATGTCCACTGAGTTAGAGAGAGAGGAAGGGAGGGAGGGAGAGAGGGAGAGCAGTGGGGGGGGTGGCACTCACAGGTCTGTGTGTTTCGGAGGTCAGCGACGCTGCCTGGGCTCCTTCCGACTGCGCAGGGGCCGGCAGAGGCACGGCGATCTGCGCAGGGTCCGCTATCATGCCTCGGCTGCGAGAAGAAAATGGGAAAAAAGGGGAAAGAGCCCCCCTCTATCGGGGCGGTGGGCCAAGGAGCCCCCGAGGCGTGCGGCACGGCCGTGAGACCGCGCTTCACAGCGACCAAACGACCGACCGCCCGCCTGCTCGCTCCCTCTCTCACCAGAGCCAGCTCTCTGTTAAAATTACCCTGCGCTCCCCTCCTTTCTCTCAGCTCCCCTCCTCCCTCTGTTCCTTTACCCACCACTCCCCCCAACCGCTGAATTTAAAGGGACATCCAAGTGGCTGAAAACATAAAAACATGTTAACTCAAACTATAAGGTGATATTGTCTGGCTACGGAGACCAAAGAAACATAACCTGAAGGCGAAAATCAATACCTACATCACTCAAAAAGTCATTTTAACAAATTTATTTTTTCGCAGAACCTGTACATGTAATTCCAGCACAAAGCTTTTATTAACTACTAGGTAAGAACTGGTATGGCGCCCAGTGAACCCCCGCAGACCTCAGTGGGTGTTAATACACCACAAAACTCCAGCATCTGCAGGTCACCACACCTAAACCGCAGAAATGGGGATATCCCATGGTATTGCAGGTTATTTCGTTGTGTGTGTGTGTGTCTCTGTGTGTGTGGATTAGGTTTATTTTTCATTGTGGGGACCAAATGTCACACACAATGTCATAAAACCTGTTTTTTTTTTGACATTCTGGGGACCATTTTTCAGGTACCCACAAAGATCTGTGAATGCAATCAAAAAAGTAAAAATGCCAAAAATCTCATATTTTGTTTGGTTACTTATGGTTAAGGTTAGGGATGGGTAGGGGTTAAGGTAGTCATGTTGTCATTAGCATTTCCCCCATAAAAAAAATAATGGAAAGTCCCCACAAAGATATAGTTAAAAACCTGTGTGTGTGTGTGTGTGTGTGTGTGTGTGTGTGTGTGTGTGTGTGTGTGTGTGTGTGAAAGTGAGGTAATGAGTTAGGGGTAGGGTCTTCTGGAGAATGATCGGGGGACCCGCAGGATTTCCCACGATTCCGCATGCAGAGCGAGCCACACCGGCTGCTGTGCATATTAATGGACGCACGGACAAACGCGTCTTTGCTTAAGCGCCTTCGTATTTTCATGACGTTAACTTGTAGGACACTGGACATATTCCTAGTCCAATAGTCCACTTACATGTGTTAAAAAAATCTGGACACTCAAGAGTCGGAAGAGCCCCTTAACTTTCATGCATGCACATGTTCCCAGTCCATTGAGCGTTATTCGCTATCTTTTTCTATACATGAACACAAATACAATTTTAAAAATATATGAAAAAAAAAGTTTCACAGCAAAATACAACAAATTATAAATATGTATATGTAATTATAACATTAATCTTCACATACAGGCAATGGTATGGAGTTAATCTACTATAAACCATTTAAACCCCTTTAAACAAACATAAGTAGATTAATGTAAAATATAACACACAACATAATTAAATGTTCACGATCCAACACTGCAGCATAATCGAAATTCAGAACCTAATATTTCGATTACGTTGGGAGGGGATTCATTAAAATGTCGTAAGCCATTTTATAGGACTATAAAGTAGGCCTACTTACAATAACATTTTATTATAAATATTTAATATTCTAATATTTAAAATCAATATAAAACTTTCACCAGTGAGTTTCATATTTAAAACATTTTTGAAATGCTAATTCAAAACAAACCTAATTAGCGCTAAGGGTTGCGGTTCTTGGGCGAGTTCTCGCTCCAGTTCGATAGACGCGACTTCTTGCCCATTTTATTTAATCAACACTAGAGGGCGATGAAAAGAAGCACGGGAGCTCAATGGAACAGAATATCTTTGTTGTCATTTTAACACTACATGTACCATGGCATTGCGTATGTCGGGGGCGTGGCGTAGGTCGGGCTCGCTTAGCCGGAGGCCCAGCTGAAGCCAACATAAATCAAGCAATGAAATTCACTGTGCCTGCTACCTCTTGGCGATTGTAATACAAATGCAACTATAATGAAGAATCACCGATGGCTAACAATCTACACTGTGACCTTTCTGGACTAGATAACTCCGTACAGAACTCGGTTTCGGGTTCACGGTTCGGTACAATTTCGGTACACCAGGGGAAACAATTTACAACTATCTTAAACAATTTCAAGAAAAATTTGTTTTAAAATTACAACTAGGAACAGTTGCAGTCGAAAGGAAATGCGTGTGTTGAGATGTATGAGTAACTAAACCTGAGGCGATTATTTGAATATCTTAAAAATGAGTTTTGTAAAATAAATATAGTCCCACGTCATCTATTTGGCTATTTACACTAGCTCTCAGTCCCCGCCCCCTGCTCCATATAAAACGTAAACACTGTCACATGCATGCTTGCACGTTACTTCAGTCACTGAAGGCGACAATAAACATAGAATGTGTCCTTGCTCTATCAATAGTTAGCTGGCAGGGGGGCACACAGCAGTCTTGCTAACTAGTCTTAGCAGTAGCTATTGGGCTTGAAATTTATTTCTCATGGGAGAGAATATCCTTCTTATATGTAGCACATGGGAAACAATTTTATTTTATTTATGGGAATCTGCTTCCCTCTGTCCCTTGGCAAAGCATCTTCCCTGCTTGCTACATACACCCAGGTACAAGGGCGTAACTTTGGCTGGAACATTGGGGGGGTTGAGGTCTCCACCCATTACGGGGGAAACATGATTATTGTGGGGGTTGCATTAGCTAGTTTTGATTTATTAATTTGTAATTTATGCCCATGCCCAGGTACCAATAGTCATATTCTATCTATCGATGGGTGAGAATATCATTGCTGCAAGTAGCATCCACCATTAAAAAAATAATATCAACACACTCGTAAGGAACTATATCGCTTGTTCTCACTGCCGAATAGGGCCGCATACCTGTACTGATAACACGCCTGTAGCCTATGATTATTTTTCAGTGAGGTCAGAATTTCCTGGTAAAAGCGCCAAGGGGAAACTGACTAGAACAGGTTATATCTGCTTTGCTCCGGTCGGGCACACATTCTGGTGATCTCCGAAATGACTTTGCACGCACATGTATCCTCATTCTTTTCAGTTGTATGTACTGAACAGAAACCGTGGTACGTACCTAACTGTACATGTGTTCTGTTACAGCCCTAATATTTAGCCTAAATAATGTGTTACGATGCAATGCAACTGCAATGAAAAAAATACTAATTTATTATTATTTAGTTTATCATTCGTTTCCCTTTTGACGAAGGCCTCGCAAGCGTCCAGGCCCGGTGCACCCTCCCAGCGACGGCTCTGCTGTCTGGTCTCAGGGTTGGCAGGCGTTAGAATTCCGAGACAAGTCTGCACGCGCATTTACATGTATGTACTGTAATAGTAATATTACCTTGTAAATAGTTTGTAGAATTACCCCCCTACACCAATGCGTTTGAGGTAGCTAATATTAGGTTTACAATGGAATGACTTAGATTAGCCGAAAGATTTCTTGCGTACGAGTCTGAAAGCATGAGTGTCACACCAGAAGCATGAGAGTTGCCAGGCATGTGGTCTGAATGTATGTGGAAAACAAAATGTTAAAAAAAGATTTTAAAATGAGATGGATGACGACGACAGTTCCTCCTTTTAAACTTTTTTTTACCCAGAGGTATAAAATAATCAACTAAGAAAAGCCTTCGTGATTATACAGCCTTGGCGTTAATTGAACTGCAAGGCCTTTCCCACGTTTAGTGTGATTGAAGAAAACGTATAAAGCGATATGTCATGCAGTCACCTCTGAAAACAGGCTTGGCTTTCCTGTCTTGGAAAATTTGGGGGTAGTCATATATTTAATCGCTAATGAAGCGAAGGTGGCCAACTCTCACGCATCAGGCGTGAGACGCAAGAAATCTGAAGGCAAATCATAATTATTCCATTATAATCCCAAAATTTGCTACATGAAAAGCGTTGGTGTAGTTTGCAAACCCTACAGACTATTTACAAGGTAATACAACTTACATGCATGTAAATGCGAGTGCAGACTTGTCTCGAATTGAAAACTTCCACCAGCCAGCTGACCAAAGTTGGCAACCCTGGAAATCCAAATGGAAAAGCACGCTAAAAGTCTGTATAATTCAATATAACTTAAAGCTATGCGTAAAGAGGCAGGGGCATAGCTGGGCCCGGCAAAATATCATATTGCCCCACCCCCACCCAGTGTTACGTGCCCTTTTGATGTATTCATGGGCCCTTGTAAAGTGGTAGGTGGCTGGGACTTCAGGAGCTGCCAGAGCAGTCTTGCCCCTACTGTGCCTCTGCAAAGAGGCATGACTCATTAAAATTTTTCTCTGGTTCCTTTACAGAATAGGCGTGACCAGAGGAGTAACTAGTAAAAAAACCCGATTAATTAGAAGTGGCAGGACAGGTTCCTGTGCCTGAAGGTACAATTATCTTGACAGGTCCTGAGTATAAAATATTGTACCTCCCCGAAACTGCACTTTTGAAAACTAAAATCAACAGCTTGTCTGCAGCGAACAATCATGTTTTTTATGTGCTAATCACTATATTTGTATTTGATATTTGTTGACATATCACACTTCCAGCAACAGACCTTATGGTGTTTTTTACGGTCCGTTGCACTAATTAATCGATTTACACAATGTGCATATTCTGTTATTTGGAATCGAGTGCTTGGTGAAAGCAGGGGCAAAAAAATGGAGGGTTTCCCAATAGGCCGCACGGTGCAGTGTGAGGGAGGTGAACTGTGACTGTTTTCTGTTGTAGGTCTGTCAAAAATGCAGATTGTGCACTCAGTTGCTGCAACACACTTTGATGGTAATGATGAATTACATCCTGCAGGTGATTAATGGGGATGTGTACTGAGCAAGTAATGAAACACACACACATGCACACAAACATATACAGACGCTCCTCTGCTTACGAACTTTCAACTTACGAACTCTCAGACATACGAACGAAGAGAACTGTAAGTCCAAATTATGTTCATTGGGACTTATGTTTCCCGTCCGCAACATCATTTTTTTTTCGGTGCGGCATTTCCGCCTAGTATGACTTCTGGCCGCTACTCCCGCCGCGCAGCGTAGCATGCGTACTCCCAGAATGCCAGTTCTTTGTACTTGTGTTTACCCTTAAAATGATGTTGAATAACGACTTACGAACATTTCAAATTACAAACGGCCTTTTGGAACATATCTCATTCGTAAGTAGAAGAGCATCTGTATATATAAAGATATGTGTGTGTCTGTGTATATATATATTAACCATAGATATTATAGCAATTCTTGAAGATTCACTCAGAGGCCTTGGATTATGTGTTAAGTGCTTGGTGTTCTTCCTCATTTCAGCCTCTCAGTGTTAAACATGCATTGCCAGTCTATTCATTTTGAGTATCCCAAGTGAGTCATGCTGTTGTCAAACCTACTCTGTCCTTTTCTTAGGAGCAATTTAACATGCTGGCTCTTCGCTTGTGTGTCTTCTGGCTTTAGCGCTTGGCAGCTCTCAGGATTCATCTTCCAACATACTCCAGGAGAATGACACCCACCCTCTCTAAGCGTTTACCTCACTCTCTGTCTGTCTTCTTATTTGCGACGCGAACTCGATCAAATCAGCTGCACTCTGTGACATATGCCAGAAGAAGGAGTGGAAGCCTAGTTTGTCTAGTTCCCTGACAGAGAGGTTTATAAAACTGTGCAGAATATGCAGGTCATATGCAGACCGTGAGGGCCACTTCGAAGGCCCATGGTTCAGGCCAACTTCCTTCGGTCTGGAGGAAGTACTTGAATCTGCAAGAGAAAAGGGATGACTCGTGTTTTTCTTCACCCCAGTGTGTGTTTTGTAAATAATTTTACACGCCTTGTGTCGTTTGGCCAGACAGCCAAAGGGAACACGTGAGAGGCCTGCCCCAGCTGCCCAATCACTCAGCACAGCAGACAAGCCCAGGATGGAAACACCCCAAGGTATTATATAATTCAGATGCTCGTCCTGTAATTGCAGCTAGTAAATCAGATGAGTCAAAGCTTCACCAAGCCTCATCCTCATACTTGACATTTGAGAAACCGCCCCAAGTTTGACATCTCACAAAACTACAAACTAACAAGAGTCTTGAAGCAAGGTTGATGACTATCTTTGCGAGCTGCCGGTTGCAACGGGTTTGTCCTGCCCGATCATATCATATGAACTAACTTGCATTTTTTTGCATTCTCAGGTATGAGGTAAACAACAATGAACAGAAGCCACAGCAGAGGTAGACTGCTGCTTTTACTACAGTTGCTGAGTGGCTCACATTTGTTGCGCTGGCTTTCAGTCAGTCCAGCTCGTCATCGTCAGGCTCCAAACCTGCAATAATTTCACTGAGTTTGAGAAACGCATATGAAACATGAGCAGCTTCTACTCTGTGTATCCAGCAATTACTTTAGAACAGCCTTAACCTAAGTTATTAAAGATCAGTTTGTGAATATTTAACCTGATATATATTCATAGAGTACCATGCGATGGGTTGGCTACTCACGCTAGGTCCTTCATTGCCTTGTGCCCATTATTTCCAGCTCCGGACCCGTGCCAACCTGCATACAACAAGCAGTATAGAAGATGAATGAATAAATGACCATATTTATATGGTGGGCGTCATAGTCACTCAGTGGGTGGCAACGTTGACTCATTTGCAGGGTTGGATTCTTATCTGTGCTCAGTGTGTGTCAGGGTTGTAATGCTCGAGTCGCATTTTTGTGTAACTCGAATTTCCACTTGATAGTTTCATGACATGACCTTGGTCTTGGGTTCAGTTGTTTTTGACACTGTGATTTTTAATCATAACATCTAAAGTCCATGTCACACATTAACAGTTCGTTTTAAAATGTGAAAATCCACTAGCCCACTAAATGCACACTAAATGGGCAAAAGTATTGGGACACACCTCTTAATCATTGAATTCAGTTGTTTCATGCAGACCCATTGCCACAGGTGTATAAAATCAAGCCATGCAGTCAGGTTTGCAAACATTTCTGAAAGAAGGGGCTGTTCTGAAGTACTCAGTGAATTTAAGCATGGTAATGTTATAAGATGCCATCTTTGTAATAAGTCAGTTTGTGTAATTTCTTCCATGCTAGATATTCCACAGTCAACTGTACGTGGTATTATTGCAAAGTAATAGCATTTAGGGACAACATGCAAGTGCATAGTGCATAAAAGTCGGCAACACTATTGAGTTAATAACTGCAGAGTTCCAGGCTTCCTCTGGCATTAACTCCAGTACAAAACCTGTGCGGCAGGAACTTTCTCCTTCTGAATTCTGAATATCACTGCATAAATCGAGACTCATCTGACTATGCAATGTTTTTCCAATCTTCTACTCTCCAGTTTTGGTGAGTCAGTGCCCAATTTAGCCTCATTTTCCTGTTTTTAGCGGACAGGAGTGGCACCCGGTGTGGTCTTCTGCTGCTGTAGCCCGTCTGCTTCAATGTTCGACAAGTTGTGCATTCAGAGATGCTCTCCTGCGTACCTTGGTTGTAACAAGGGAGTATTTTAGTTACTGTTGCCTTTCTATCAGCTTGAACCACTCTGGCCATTTTTCTCTGACTTCTGCCATCAACAAGGCATTTTCGCCCAGAGAATCCCCCCCTCACTTGATGCTTTTTCTTTCAGCCCATTCTCTGGATACCCTAGAAATGGCTGTGCATGAAAATCACAGCAGACCAGCAGTTTCTGAAATCCTTATACCAGCCATGCCCCATTCAAAGTCACTTACATCACCTTTCTGCCTAATTCTGGTGTTTGTTGTGAACATTACCTGAAGCTCCTGACCTGTGTCTGCAAGATTTTATACATTGTGCTGCTGATAAATGATTAGCTGATTAGTCAACAAGTACTTGAACAGGTTTACCTAATGAAGTGGCCAGTGACTGTAGTTCTTTGCTAGTTATCATATATCACACTTAATGAATACTAAAATACTTTATTATATTAAAACATTTAAAAAATCAGTAAACATATTTTGTACATTGGAGTCATCTCTGTGGCATTTAGTTTTTTATATAATGACTCGCAACTTGAACTTTTGTTGGGGTGACTTGATGACAACCCTGCTGTGTGTGTGGACTCCCATATTCTCCTGGCATTGCGTGGCTTCCCTCCGGATACTCATACTGTTTTTTTCCTGCAGCACAAGGAATTGCAATTAGGCTAATTGCCTGTAGTGTATGATTGCCTGTATGATGCACTGGCATCCCCAGCCTTGGGCCTTGTGCTGCCTGTGAAAGTCTCTACGTCCCCTCTTGACCAGGATAAACAGCTGGATGATGGATAATATTCATATGTGCAGATTCTCTACACCAATTTCTAGATAAGCAAGTTAACACCACTCTGAGAAGCTCATACCTAAACTCTCCTGTAATGCCCAATAGGGTGGGCTGATTTAGTAAATATGATGTTGGACTGACTGAGATTGATAGATTTATATATATTAACAAAGAAAAACATTACATATGTTGAAAAAAAGGAAAAACTTTTTCAGGATAACAAGTCAGATTTCTGTCTAATTTTTTGCATATATCCGGTTAGGGTCAGGGTTAGGGTTAGGGTCAGGGTCAGGGTTAGGGTCAGGGTTAGGGTTAGGGTCAGGGTTAGGGTTGTGCACTGCAAGCTCCAGTTGTTGTTCTTTTACATTAGTTGTTGTTCTTGACGTTGTTGTTGTTTTACATTTTGCTGTTCCTTGGAATATTTAATTTTTATTGCTTTTTTGCATGTTAGAACGTTGATATAATGGCTAAAAAGTGAAAATCTACTACAGTATTGACTAGAACAGAGAGCAGCAAGAAATTCTGTGGACAACCGTCCCCTTTGGATAAAAGAGAGCCTCCGATGTTGTGTCAAGTGATTCAATACAGCTATTTTGTTAAAAACATCAATCCCGATTTGAAAGAATATGACATTTCCAAATTAATTGCAAAGGATGTTATTGAGGTCAGGTGATCGGTTAACCCATGGTTGCCACTCTATGATGAGTATTACATTGTAAAGAAGATAAAGCTTGTTTCCAGAAGATGAAGAAGATGAACTGGAAGATGCTTTCAACAGTCCAGCAACAAAATTTGGAGGAAAGCCTTGACAAACTTTTCGAACATTTC